AAAAAAAAAAAAAAAAAAAAAAAAATCAGCTTGCAAGTCCTAGATGGGTGAAAAGCAACAGTCTGTTGTTGGGGGAAGGTGTGTGCTGCAATGAAATATTTTATACAGCTTTGCTATGCTGTGGTGTGTCCAGTCCCTGGAAAACAAAGAACCCTCACAAAGAGCAATGGGCTATATACAGAACAGTTCCACTTCTCAAGAACTGAAAGTATTTCTTTGGGAACTTCAATGTTATTTAAACTTAAGTGTTTAATTATTATTTTAGATAGGTTCAGTTTCCATGGTGAAATTAGAGAAGTGAAACTTCAGGTACCATAACAGACAAAATAAGATGAACTAAATCATGAGAAAAGGTCCTTAAACATGTGAGACCAGAGTATCTTTGGCCTAGCCCCTTTGCTCTCACAAGGGAATCTGTTCCACTTCAGGATCCTCCCATGCCTTTTGCTGCCTGAGGTAGCAAAATGATATAAAGGTTTGCTTGTTTGTTTTTCTGGTTTTGAAAATCTGTTTCCCCAGAGAAATTTGCTTAGTTCATGGCTTCATTCCAGTGAAACCACCTCTTTCATATTATTTAGACTGAGAGGATATTACAGGAGCCAACAAATTGATTGGGGTTTCATTGTAGTGTCCCCAAATTAGAATTTAATGATAAGAAGATCTAGAGTTAATGAAATGTTTTGGTGACCCAGACTTGCACTACAAAAATGTTCATCAGTGTTATGTTCTTATAGGATTCTTAAAGGAGGATAAGTTCTAACTTAAAATTTTTTACTACATCGTAATGTTGATACTCTTACACTTCTCCATTTTGTCACTTTTTCTATTCCTGTCTTAAGTCTTTCCATCTCCTGCCTGCTGCAATGTCTTCTGGGACTTTTAGTACTACACCACAACCAACCTAGCACTTTCCATATGTGGGGTGATTGTAACTCCCAGAATTCTCAACCAGCATGCTGGATATTGCAATCCGAAGACATTTAGGAATGTACCACATTGGGGAAGGCTGCACCAGGACCTAATGCCCTCTATGGACCCAAGCATGGAATTCCTGAGAGCTCTCCTGTTTCTCTCCTTTCTTCCCACTTCTCTTTCTCCACCACTAAATATACCTGTGTGACAAATTGACCAGCACATAAATAATAGACATTATTGTCACATGTTTGGTGTGACAATAAAAATAATTGGATGCTCTCTTTCCCCGACCCTTATGTTTGTGTGTGTATGTGTGTTGGGGATATAGCCCGCTACCACTGAAATGAAGAATACAAATCCAGTCTGAAAACAAAAAACCCTCAATATATTGCCATCCCACCATTGGGTACACTGAGCCCTTCAGTTTTAAACAAGAAGCCTTTTAATATGGTTTTGTATCCTTCAAAGTGCAAAGGACAAAGGCAGTAGACAGAGAGAGATGCAGTGGATAAATGCCAAGGTTGGTTGATCAAGAACAACAGTAATTCCACCCAGACATTGTAGTCTGGATTGTTTTAAGTAACAAGCAGAGCCTGACTGTGAAAGTAATTGACACAGGCATTTATTATCTGAAATATCAGGAATTCTGCCTAATGCAAATTTTATCTGTGAATGAGTTCTCCTTGTTCTTGGGCCAACAAATCATCTTCCTTTTCTTTAGTATGTATTTTGACAAAATGAAGATGCAACTACACATTTCCTAATCTGGTGCCTCCAAATATATAGGATTGTACTTCTATACTCTCTAGCCCATATGGCCTTTCCTTTTCCCCTTCCCTCCAGACGGTACCTTATTGTAAATCTAAAATCTGAAGCAGGTAATCACTGTATTTTATTAAGGTACTACTTTTATAAGGTCCTGCCTTAACATACAAAGGCTATGTGCTTTGTAAGTTGCACTTATGGACTTGTTTCCTCATAGCTGTGTGTTTAATGTACAATCATCTCAAAAGATATTCACTGTTTAAGGCAAAAACCATGTTATTTCAATCTCAGTTCTCTAAAACTAAACAAACTCTAAATCATAACACCCTCTCTATGTCAACACCAACTCAATGAAGAGCCTTGATTTATATCAGAACATATATTGTAGTAAACCTAGCATTCACCACTGTTTATTTGTTATCTCCCATTTATTCCGTGAATAAAGATTTCAGCACTGTTTTGATAAAATGCAGGATCTCGTTTTTCTATTAAAAAAATATTATTTGTCTGGTTATTTTTATTTATGCTTTATTATTTTACTGTGCAGTAATAGTGTTTTTCCCCAAATGTTGCTCCCTTTCAAAAGTAGATAAATAAATGACAATGTTATCAGAAAGTAACAGGCTGCTTTGTTTTGTTCTATTTATATAGCACTGTTAGAACATATTTAAGGATGTAAGCATAATTGCCTAATCAGGTTTTCATGGGTATTAATTCCAGAAAATCATATGAAAACGCTATCAGTTTAAAAGTATTCACTCTCTAAATAGCCAGCGCACTGTGGTGTTTAAAATGTGAACTTGACCTGCAGAGACCCCGGGTTAAATCTTCTTAGGTCTACCATGAAGCTCAGTAGATATCTT